TTCACCTGAGCAAACCTGATCAGCTTTTAAAAAGAGTTATGACCCTACCCCAAGCTGCTCACCCCTGCCCAGCAACCACAAACCACAATTTGAGGACTCCCTTCTATAGCTTTCTCTTGGTTGCATGCATTTTACAGGTAAGTTTCTCTTCTTTGCAGAAAAAAATTATACAAATTCTGCAAAATAGGTAACACATCAGAAGTATCCTGCTCAGGAAAAACCCTTCTCCTTCATATGAATATTTTTCCTTTTCGCTACTCAAGCTGATCAATGATTAATATCACTGGATCTGGTATAACATAGCCATTGTTGCTTGTAATGTATTTTCAAAACTATAATTTATTTGTTTAAACATTTGTATGCTGCTGATTCGTTTTAAAAAATCCATAAGGAATCTCATTGTGAAGCTCTGGAGAGTAATTCAGAAGAAATCAAAAGCTTGCTCGCTATTTTGTGACATTCTGGGCGGTCTTCATAAAACATAAACATGGATTTTGTGCCACAACTCTCTTTATATGATTAGGAATTTCTTTATTCAAATTTACTTCGGTGCAGTTTTTCATTACTCATCATTTTATTCAGACTCAGTACATTTAGGGTGGAGCTTCTTGACATTTGTAATAACATGTGGCAATGTAGGATTTTAGAATAAAATATTCAGGGCACCTTTTTATTACCCAGAGCTCTTGTATCAAGTCTAGGGCAAAACAGAAATGTTAAGATCCGTTTGAGAAAACCAAATTACACATTTTTTTTTTCAAATCACTGCTACATCCTGTTGAACTATGTATCCTAACAGAGCATTTGTGCCTATTGACATAAAGTACGTTCTTTTTTTTATTCAACAGGATGCATTCTTAGAATGAACGTGAAGTGATGATGGAAAAGAATGGAGCAGTTAAGGCGACCACCACTCCCACTTCAGAGAGGGCTGCTCTGGTCATTCCAGCGCTTGGCTAGCTTGCAGATCCTGCAGCATTATGCATCCTACCTGAAGTCCTCAGTGAAAACAAGGATCCTCACACCCAGTATATAGTATTACAGCCTGAATTTTAGTCTACACAGTATGCAAAATGGAATCCTAAGCGTAACATGCAGATTATGATTAGATCAATGTCACCATTTCTAGAAAAGGTCTCTCCTTACTGGATGTTTATTACAAAGCAGAGGCAACCAGCTTATGAACCATATGCATCCTCAACCCTTTGTCATGTCACCCAGAGCCCTCCCAAAACCCACCTCGGTAGCAGTAAACAGTCAAATTATGTCAGAATTATTTTTTACTTTTTTCACAAGTAATAAATTAGCTACATTAAGCCTTTAATAGATTTAACTTGCATATTTTCTTAAGTAGGTTAAAAAAAAGCCCTAAAAAGACACAAGGAAACAGCCAACAATTCCAGCTATTTGGTAACTTCACCCTTGCCTATTCCTCTGGTAAGAAAACTTAAGTAGCATGGCCCCATACTTCTTTAATTGTACTAACATAAATGTCACCAGCTGCACCTATGGGATGGTCAAGATTTGCAATTTGGCGCATGCAATGTCATGATCCAAGCCCTGCCTTTGTACATATGGTGCGTTTATATATATTCCAGCACTGGGACAGATGCTGCGGCAAGCTGAATGCAGTCTTATGTTTCTAGCCAATCTCCATAAATGCCACCTTCTTGTATTAAAAGAATCCTAGGAATTTGGAGGACTTCGCTTTGCATGACAACAATTTTTAAGATTTATTCCTAACATTTATCAACATTCTGGGAATGCTTTATTTCTATATTAAAACAACATATGACATACCCCAAAATACAGTTTGTAATTATTTGAAACAGATGCCAAAACAGAGCATTTATCTTAGTCTAATTTGACAGTCATATTAGTTCAGAAAGAACAACCACAATTTGTGTGATGAATTTTAGCTATCAAGCAATTCAGTTATCGTTGGAATTTCTTTCCACCGAGTCGAATTGGGAACTATTTCCATTCCTTGGGCAGCATTTTTATTTATTTTATTTGAGTGCTGGTAAGTCAGATAGCCTGCTCCAGTTTAAAACTGATCACACAAACTAAAAAATCCAGTACCTGACAATAAACTGATCCAATCCACATTGAAAAACAGTATATTTACTCCTTTATATGGAACTGCCAATCCTTTGAGTAGACAGGTTATGAAATAGACACCATATGAATGATTGGAACCCTACTTTATTGTTATAGGGTATAATATCAGAATCTGAAAGCCTGAGTCTCCTCCTTCTTGTACTAAATAGAATCAAGGTGGGACAATCTTTGAGTTTTTTCCTCACCTTCTCCTGTCTGTCTGGGCTGTTGCTTGCATAATGGATGTTGATTTCCTTCTTCAAGGCCATCTCCATACTCCTCTACAGAAACCAGACCTTGTTTTAAAAATATTTTAAATGTGTCCTCTCTCCTTTAAGTAATCTGTAGTTTGCAGAAAGATAGCTTCTTACTCATTTCTCAGAATCTCCAGATTTGAATATTATATAGCAGATGAAAACCTCTGCATAAGGATAGCTACTGCTACCAGCAACAGACATTTATAACTTAGATAACTAATAGCATGACAATATCATAAGTCAATAAGTACTTGGATGAAGCACTTGGATGAAAAGCAGTACTGAATTGTATACGGAAGGCACTCTTCTCACAGGTGACTAGAGAAGCAATGTATTACAGACCACTGAGAAAAGCGGAAAAAACCCAACGTGAAATAGTAACCACATTTCAGAGAATATACTCACTGTGTAAGTTCCACTGTGGCCTTCTGAGAAAAGGTCCATGCTACCCTCTCCTTACCATTTTTGGGAATATCATTTTTGTCTTCGTAGGCCAAAAAGTAGAGGGAGAACTTCATAGAAGGAAAGTCAAATTTTTGAAGTAAACTGAGAAAAAAAATGCAAGCAAATCATTCCATCCTAAACATTTAATATTTGCTATTATTTGTTTTACGTTATTGTAAATGTACATGATTTCTTGAAATAAAAAAATATACCGAGAGAGCAAAAATTCATCACACCTCAAAGATCAATAAACTCATTTGGCACAAGCTTTCATGGAGACCTCCAATGCTTTAAATCTAAGGCAATCAAATCTTCCATAAGACAGAGCTGAATTCTTAGGATTGCTGTTGCATTTTTTAAATTGTAAAACAGTCAATTAAAAATAAACCTGAGGTTCACAATGACAACAAAAAGCATACAGAAAAGTTAATTTATTTGTTTTGGAAAATAGCAATGAATATATGTGCAGCTTGGACCTTTTGTCTTTATATTATTTGTTTACATAGATCAAATCCAGAATTAGCCTTACTATAGCAATGTTGAGGGAAATATAACTTCTTTTTTGGTTATATAAAATCCCTGTTTTGACAGAGAAGAAATTTGAATTTATCATTCAAAGAACATTTGTGAAGAACAGCATAAATTAGCCTACAGTTTGCCTTTTATTACTGAATAGAATTGCTTCTGAGCAGAGAGATATGCATGCACTTAATGACTGATCTCCCAAAACCTAATTAACACGTCAATCAGTTTTAATTCGTATAACAAGCATGGTAGCCAAAAGCATTTGGTTTCTCCTTATTTCAGAGATGCTTTGTAGTTGTTGGTCTTATGAACATCAAGCTTTAAGGGTCCATGCTCCCTTTATCACAGGACTCTGCAAGCTGCAGCATACTGAAGATTTCCACTCAAGAATGCTGCCTCACACCTAACTTTACTCCAATCTACTGGTGGGGTGAGACAGGGAGGAACAACTTTCTTGCAACTGCTTCACAGACGGAGAAGAGGCAGAGCTCTGCTCAGAATCCTAAGCATGTATCTAACTCAAATTATTGAGAAATACATTACATTCACAAGACAAGGAGTCCTTTTACTGAGCTGAAGTTTCCATTAAAGAAGAAGGGAAGGAATTTTTTATTTCTTTTTTTAATAGTTTGTCTCTTCTGTACCAAGTGTTTCTCAAAGGTCCTCCAAATCTTTGGAGCAGTTTAAAGCAGCTTAAAATCTTTCATTAGCAGAGGAATGGACCCAAAGTCATTTTGTTTTTAGATGGTTGAAACCCTAAATGAAAACAACTAGGTATACATTGTTTTTTACTTACGTCATCCCAAGAATTCTAGTATAAAAATCCAGCGATTTTTTAGGATCTTTTACTCTTAGCATTGTCTGTTGCATAAGAAAGTCCTGTAGAAAAATATAACTGATGAATCATAAGACTCAGTAACATAGTTAGAATTTTCCTAGGGACAAACAACAAAAAAAGGGCCAAGATCAAAATGATACCTCTGCTGTAAACCATCCAGAGACACTTCAACAAGATGGGCAGTGACAAATTAGATAAATAAATATCTGCTTTGATATCAGACAATGGCACTCCTGCAACACAGTTCTGTTTTACCATTTCAAAACACACTACACTATGTTAAATGGAGCAAATTACCAGCGACATATGTAGATAAGATTACAACCCACTATCCTACATTAAATCTCCCTAAACTTGGTAGAAGAAAACACCCACACAACTGCATTATTAACAGAGAATATGAAACACCTCAAGTCATTCTGATATACACTTGAGAAAGCAGCCACAACCCTGCACCTAGAATGATCAACATGCACGTCTCAATACGTAATCTTCAAATGCTACGCAGATCCATCATTTTCAATAGGATAGCTAGTGAAGTAAACCTGCAGAGCTGCTTTGCCCGACTTGGGGCTTTCCAGACATGAACTAAAACTCTCGCCGTGCAAGGCTTCCGATGATGAGAAGTGCTGGCCAAGCACATGGATCAGGCTGGGGAAGGCTGGCATATAGGGCTGCTTAAAATAGGGCAGCAGCATTCCAGGAAGGATTTAATCCTCCTTCAGGGCAAGATTTTAGGCCACATTTTGCCTGGCCAGGGGGTCTGACTTCCATCCTGGTATTCTGCAACCCCTGGATCCTACGAGCTCTACCCGTTCTTTTTGCGTAAAGAGAGGTCGGGACAGTCGCTCGCAGTGAATCAAGGGAGGCCCTCTTCTTCCCACTTCCCAGCAAATTCTCGCCATGTGTTCAAAGGTTCCCTCCTCCTTGCAAGTCATTTTCTTCCCCCTTACCTTCGTGCTGGGATGAGGGTCAGAACAGGCGCTATAGGCTTCTTCGTCGGTCAGACCGCTCAACTCGCCTTGCTCCGACATGCTGCAACCACGGAGTCACACAACCGCACCGAATTGCACCCCTCCACACCGCGTATTATTGGGGCGACGAGAAGAATGGGCGAGGAGACTCTCCAGCCAATAGAGGCGAAGAATGCAAATAGGGCAAATCCGTCGTGTAGGATACATCCACCTATAGGAGAGCCACTTCATTACTTTCCTACAACTCCCAGCATTCCTTGTTCCAGAAGGTTGTTTAGTTCCGCCCTTCTCTCTTGCATTCCCAATTTCTTTTTAAGGAGAAGATGATTCATCCCTGATAAATCTAGAGGAAGCTAGGCGCTTTCGGCGGCGGATGGCCAGCAGGTTTTTGACGGCGCAAGGAGTTCGCTTTTGCTGGGGAGCGATGGACTATGACTGAAAATGGAGCGGTAGTTGAAAGAGCAACCATGAGACATAGTTGATTGCACTAAACTAAAAGTAAAGAAAAACATGTAAATGTTTTTAACGAAATTATGTGCCCTAAATAATTCAACGAAAACGTCTTAGAACTCTGTTAATACACTACATCCAATAAAGACGGTATCCACATGATCAAATTTGAGCCGCATTCATGCTCTTCAAAAGCAAAGAATTAGGTTAATAAACATTCCACAGCTACATGAGACTTAATGGAAAAAATTAACTTGTCAGTATCTCATAAAATCCAATATTCTGAAATCCAGTGATAGCTGTGAAGCACTGGGTTTTCAAAGCCTATGTTTGTTACAGCAAATAAGGCAACTGGTTAATAAAACCACAGTTGAACAGAAGGCTGCAATTGAAAAGGATTATCTGGACCCCTATCAGTCAGGATTCAGGCCTGGTTATGGGACAGAAACCGCATTGGTCGCACTTTT